GGAAGGGGGCTTGGGGGGGGAGGGGGGGCGGTTTGGGCCTTGCTGCTAAGCTGCTGGGTCCTGCTGCCGGCTTCCCTTGGGTCCTATTGCCCCTGGCCCCTGTCATCTTTGACAGGCAGCCAGGAGCAGATAAATATTAATTTTCTAAATTTTTAAGGGGCCCCACGGGCTGGATAGAATGGCCTGGTGGGCCGAATCCAGCCATGGACTATATTTTGCCTGCCCCTGCTCTAGCTGCTTATCCCTTTGCAGCCAGCCTTTGTTTGTCACTCCAAGAACTGTTTACTACTGCTTTTTCCTCTTAAAGTAACAGGAGCCCCAGGCTTCCTCTTACACTGAGGCACTTAATATTTGCATTGGTCTCCTATACTAAGCATTTTTTATTGATTGTCTTCTCTTATGACACAATCCTATTAAATTAGAAATTGCTTGAAATTCTTCCACCTTAAAATCCTGAGAAGGGGAATTTCCCTTGCAAAATGTCCTTGGTTATCAAACCTCTGTTATCTGAAGAGCAACTGACTTGAAACAGTTACAGTGCATTGAATACAGTATCTCTGAAGTTTGATACAGTACTGTAACTTGTAAATGTCTGTATGGTATAATCTTATCTTGTAAGCTTTATTTAATACAATACTGTATAACTTCATAAATCCGGCATGCTTGGGACTGAGCACCTGCCAGAAATTTGAAAATTCCATTTTTCTTTAAACTGGAACTGTGGCCAATCGTGGAGTGGAGGGGTGGGAGAGGAGCGGGGGGGAGTAGTGGCGACCAGTCCCAGAGCAGAGACCGCATGTAGAGCGGGGTGGTGGATGGCGGCAGCAGCTGCTGCATGCAAGCTTCCCCCTCTGCCTCTGGGGGCAGTGGGGGAGCAGAGGCCAGTCCTGGAGCAACGGCCTCACACAGACCGGCAGCACGGGGTGGTGGATGGCGGCGGTAGCCACCGCATTCAAGCTTCCCCCTCCACATCCAGGGGAGCAGAGGGGGAAGCTTTAAAAGTGCTGGATTTTTGAGAATTCTGGATTTTCAAGATCCGGATTATGAGGTTATACTGTATTTTACCTCCATTCTTAGGTTTCACACAGTACATTTTAACTGTTTCCTTTACCCAAATACAATCAGCCATCCAAACTGCTTTCCAGCAGGTGCTTTTCAAAGGGGTTTGGATAACTGAGAACATACTGTACTCCAAACATTTCTGAAAATTATCCAGCTTGTTTCTAGCAACAAAAAAAAAAAAGCAAACTGAATGTTTTAGAATTCAAAATCTTCCTGTGAATGATAATTCTGTGCTCTCTTGGTTTGTGCTTTTCAGGGAATGACTGCGCTTCACTGGGCTGCTTTCCATAATCGGCCCCAACATGTGCAAATACTGTTGCAGAAAGGAGCAGATCTAACTCTGGTGGACAAAGACTTTAAAACAGCTCTTCACTGGGCAGTACAGGTAGGAGATAACTACCAGTATGTTATCAATGCACCACTTGAACTACACAGATGGTTTTATTTTCTGAAATTTTAAGCAAGTCACAGAACATCAGAACAGAAGAATAGCATTTCTGTTTCCAAGTAGGAAAGATACAGGGCACAGGTCTGTATCTAATTGAAACTTTGCCAATTTAGCCTGGTCCAGGATCGAGCCCTCAGTTTTTACAGTAAAGCATCATTTTTATCAACAAATATTCAGTGTGGGCTTGCTCCTCATAGGTGTCAAGCACTATTACCTAATGTAGCAAAGCATTTATGTCATTGGGACTATTTGCGTGCTTCACATTTAGCTGGTACTCAAGTATTCTACTGGATAGGGGCTGGAGTAACGATGATTCAGTGCAAAATGAGAATAACTTAAGATCACCCAAAATGAAATAGCCTAAGTATGTAAAATAGCAAACATGTCATACTGGGATAATGTTTTGAAGGGCCGAAGCTTCACTTCTATGAAAATCCCAACTTCTTTAAGGGAAGTGTCCTGTTAAACACTCTTACTGTCAAACAACATATGCTATATTGCTTCAGGGCAATCACTGGACTCTTGAAAGGTATTTCCTTCCCATCACAGAAAGTGCCAAAAAACTGTAAAGCTGTTGAAAAATTATTGAGGGAATCATTAAAGTTACACTGTTACACTATGACTTATGAATAGATCCAGTATGTCACCTTTGAACTAGGGATGTAAATACCAGTTAAAAAATATCTGTTTAACCTGTTGTAATTGCAGTTATTAAATGATTAATTGGTATGGCAACCCCCATCCTGGTCCATGTGAAGCTGCTCTGGCACCTCTGTCCAACCTTGCTACCTGCGGGCCATTTCCACAACCCTGTGGTGGGGTAAGGACTCAGCAGCTCCCTGGGGTCGTACCTCGTGATGAGCTGGGTAGAGTAGGGAAAACAGGGAGTGCCTAATAGCTAGGCTCTGCAGGGTGGGGAGCACAGTCCAGCAAGGAAAGTGGGGAAGGGAAGCCATGTGGTGCTCTAGCAGGAACTGGAAGGTGGCAGGCAGAAAGAGGGAGGGAGGGGTGAGAAGGGGGGCAGAAAGAGGGGGGAATTTTACCTACACCTAGGGTCTGCAGACCCCAATGCAGCTGCTTGCAACTTCCCTGCTGCCTGCCACGAGTAACCTGGGCTCCATGGTGGGTGGCAGGAACCTGCTGGAGCCCGGCTACTCCTGGCAAGTGGTAGGGAGGCTGCAAGCAGCTGCACTAGGGCCTGCGGAGCCTAGCTATAGGTACTAGTCCTTGCTTCCATTCCTCCCTCCCTCCCTCTCTCCCATCTGCCCTGCCACCATCCAGTTCCTGCCAGAATACCATGTGGCTTCCCTCCCTCCCCCCCACCCCCAATTCCCTGCTAGATTGTGCCCCACTCTATGATAAACTATAACTGGTAAGTTATAACCAGTTATCACTGGGCTCACTGGTTAAACTATTAGTCATTTAACCATTCACATCCCTACTTCTGTGACTAACCTTCAGCATCCTAACTTTTTTCTTTTAATTCTGCCAACTTAAAAAACCATGACAACAAGCCAAACAAGAAACAAAGAACGATCACACGATATATTTTAACATCTATAAAAAACAATCTGCCTCTGTTTACTGCTTTTCTGGAGCAAACCTCTCCCATACAGAGCATCCACAATGGATTCAACATTTTTGTCTTCCTAGTACAGGATGCAGCTGATGCTTCCATTACTACAATTACTTTGCCACCATTTATTACTTTCACAGCATTTATTCTCTGATTTCATATACTTTCTGCTCAGCTTGAACTTGTGTTGCAGCTTTCGATTTTGCCTGGGTATTTTGAAGAGATCAGTTCCACCAGGTCTCAGGCATTTCTTGTGTATTTAGTCTAGTGCAGGCTCCATCCAGCTGACATTCTGGGCCAGGTGAAATCTGGAGGGCCCTGTGTTCTAGCTGTTTGAAAGGCCAGTCTATTTTACAGCAAGGCAAAACAAAAGCTTATCTCTACATATCCCCCTACACTTTCCTACAGAAACAATAAATAGACAACGTAAAACTGTGGGTGACAGAATACTGCAGAAAAGCTCACCCCCTCCTGTGGGTCACAAATCCCATGCCCACTCCTTTCAAGTCACCCATGCACAGCTGCCCAGAAAGTAGAGGTTACTTTCCAGCTTGCCTAAAAGCAGAGGAAGTGTGCAGGGGAGATCCATTTTCCGCTGCTGGGATTTGTTCTGAGATGCCTCTTAGGAAACTTTACAAGCACCGCTTTACGAGCACTTCTGGTGCTCTGGCGAGATGCCAGAGGACTGGAAGAGGGCCAATGTGGTCCCCATTTTCAAAAAAGGGAGAAGGGAGAACCCAGGAAACTGTACGCCTGTTAGTCTTACCTTGGTCCTGGGGAAGCTCTTCGAGAAAATTATCCAGGAGCACATCTGCTAGGGACCAGCAGGGGAGGTTATGCTTAGGGGCAACCAACATGGGTTCATCAGAGGCAGGTCCTGTCAGACCAACCTGGTGGCCTTCTATGATCAGGTCACTAAATCCTTGGATGCAGGCATCACAGTGGACGTAGTCTTTCTGGACTTTAGAAAAGCCTTCAACACTGTCTCTCAACCCATTCTCATTAAAAAACTAGGCTACTGTGGTGTCGATCCCTACACTGTCAGATGGGTTGCCAATTGCCTGGAGGGCCGTACCCAGAGAGTGGTGGTGGACAGGTCTTTTTCGACCTGGAGGGATGTGGGCAGTGGGGTCCCCCAGGGCTTGGTCCTCGGGCCTGCGCTGTTCAACATGTTCATCAGTGACTTGGACGAGGGGGTAAATAGCATCTTTTTCAAATTCGCAGATGACACTAAGATGTGGGGGGAGGTGGGCACACTAGAGGGAAGGGACAAGCTGCAATCAGACCTAGATGAGTTACAGAGGTGGGCGGATGAGAACAGGATGGGTTTCAACACTGACAAGTGCAAGGTGCTGCACCTGGGAGGGAAGAACCAGCAGCATACCTACAGGCTGGGGAACTCCCCTCTCACCAGCACAGAGGCAGAAAAGGATCTTGCAGTCATTATTGACTCAAAGGTGAACATGGGCCGCCGGTGTGGGGATGCAGTCAGAAAGGTTAACTGCACCTTGTCATGCATCCACAGATGCATCACGAGCAGGTCCAAGGAGGTGATCCTCCCCCTCTATGCGACACTGGCCAGGCCGCAGTTGGAGTACTGCATCCAGTTCTGGGTGCTGCACTTCAGGAGGGATGTGGACAACATGGAGAGGGCCCAGAGGAGGGCCACCCGCATGATCAGAGGGCAGCAGGGCAGGTCCTATGAGGATAGGCTACGGGACCTGAACCTGTTCAGCCTCCACAAGGGGAGGCTAAGAGGGGATCTGGTGGCCATCTATAAACTGGCCAAGGGAGACCAGCAGGCAATGGGAGAGTCCCTATTCCCCCGAGCACTACCGGGAGTAACAAGGAACAACGGCCATAAGCTGACACAGAGCAGATTCAGGCTGGATATCAGGAGGCGTTACTTCACAGTCAGGGCGGCTAGGATCTGGAACCAGCTTCCAAGGGAAGTGGTCCTCGCTCCTACCCCGGGGGGTCTTTAAGAGGAGGCTAGATAGACACCTTGCCAGGGTCGTTTGACCCTAGTACTTTTTCCTGCCTGTGGCAGGGGGTCAAACTTGATGATCTGTTCAGGTCCCTTCTGACCCTACCAACTATGAAACTATGAAACCATACTCCCACCTCCATTCTTCAGTCCCTGTGGTATGGAGTCTATAGTGTGGAGATTATAACTTAAATATCTGAGCCTGTAGTAATCTCTAGTTTTTTGTCTGTCTGTTTTTACCTCCTATGATGTCAGCTTAGCCATGGAAAAATATTTTTACAGCCATTGTCATCTACTTCTCTTAGTAAAAGAATTAATGCTGGCATAAATTGCCATATATAATTGACCTCAGATGGGAGCAGGCCTGTCACCTATGCAAGACGAAGCCTTAGCTTGTCTAAAGTTCTTGCCAAGCCAATACCCCTGGTTAGATGAGGAATGTGGGTCATTCCCACATTCTGATATCTGATGTCTAGGAGACTCTGAACATGCTCAGCAGCCCTTTTCCTCACCAATTTTTCCTCAAAATCTCAGAGTTGAAACCAGGGCTGTATTGTGGAGGAGGCAGTGGTAGGAAATATCTAATAAGCTTCTTCTAAAGTTGTTGAAGTGGGGATATTTTTCCTTTAAGAACTGTACTTAACCTCTTCAGAGTACAAGAGGACCATAGAGTTCCCAGAGTAGCAGCTGCAGGGGTTGCTTTCAGCTGAATTAGAGCCTTGTTCTTGTTTTCATGAAAAAACAGAGGCTGGAACATCTGGCATGGGAATGAGACCTGTTCCAGAAATCACAGAAAAGAGGCAGTGTGTGTACATTGTACTAATATGTGGACCAGGAATTATGGAAGTGACCCATGAAAACCTTCACCCACAGTTCAAATTATAATAAGTGTCCAAGCCCAGCCTTTCAAAAAACCCACATCCAGGTCTGAGATTAAACAAATGCAGACTTTGGTCCTGTTTCCCTTACTAGAATTCCAGTCACAGGCAGGCCTTTCTTACAGTGAGGCTGGCTGAATGGGAATAGTAACACTGACATAACTGCATAATTTCATAGATTTCATAGACATCAGGGCTGGAAGGGACCTCGGAAGATCATCGAGTCCAGCCCCCCGCCCAAAGGGCAGGAAGTCAGCTGGGGTCATAGGATCCCAGCAAGATAAGCATCCAGTTTCATCTTGAAGGTGTTCAATGAAGGCGCTTGAACCACCTCCGGTGGCAGGCTGTTCCAGACCTTGGGGGCTCGGACAGTAAAGAAGTTCTTCCTTATGTCCAGCCTGAAACAATCTTGAAGTAGTTTGTGACCATTCGACCTCGTCATCCCTTGGGGCGCTCTGGTGAACAAACGTTCCCCCAGATGCTGGTGGTCACCCCT